AAAAAAAAAAAAATCCTAAAAACATTGTAAAACTGTTTTTTTCTTTACTGGCTGTTGACAGCATTTTTTGATTTAAATGCTGATAGAAAAAGATCCAAAACCCCTAACTCGTATATCAATATGTCAAAATGAATCAAGAATTTTGAACCTGGCTTTATTCACTGTTCTGGAAATTCACGCAAATGTGTGCCTGTTGAATTAGATGATGCTTATTTGCATACCTATACATAACAATTCAAGAAACTTGCAATACAAAACTAATGTCTGAATGTAATGTGATGAATAAATTCCTGTGGTCCTAAGTGCTAGAGCATTGTGTTAGCAGCGTAAAAGGTTGTGGGTTCAATTCCCAGGGAACACACATACTGGTAAAATATGAATAGCCTGAATGCACTGTAAGATTTTTAAAATTATTATTAATTATTAAATTGTGGACTGATGGTGATATCGATCAGTTTAACGTTTTTACTCTATACAACTGTGGCTTCTTGCTTTGAATTAAAAGACTATTGACTGCTCAAATGCAGAGTTTTGCGCATTGTGTGTGTGTGCGCACGCGCACGTGTGTGTGTGAGAGAGAGCGCGAGAGAGAGACAGCGTAACATCACAGTAGAGTCAGCTGTCTTAACGGCAGCTTGTGTACTGCATCATTACTGTGTCTGTTCCCCTTTCGGGCTTGAACTGATGGTAAAACTAATGCCATTATTTACTGTCTTTACATTTATTTTGAAAGATGAAGCTCGCGATTATGGTAAGGGGCGTTACATTTCCGACGAGTGCTTGCGGTGTTCGGCCAATCACAATGCACTGGGTCAGCTGGCCAATCAGAGCAGACTGCGCTTGTCGGAAGGAGGGACTTTGTAGAAAACGAAGCATTTGAGAGAGGCGGGGCATAGAGGACCTACAATAATGTACAGTATTTGAAAAATAATGTGTTTTTTGAACATTAAAGCATGTCAACATATTCTGTTACACCAAATACACAAAATAATGATCTTTAAAAAAGCATCATATGACCCCTTTAATATGGCAAGAATCTAGTTTATCATGTATAATACCACCTTTTTTTTAAATTAATTTTGGATTGACAAATTTATTGAACTAGTAAAACGTTCCTGCTTTTGTCTCAGGCTGTGAAACCGCACAAGATATTAAGTTTGTTTACATGCCAATCATGTAAACATGTTTATTATCTCTTGTTTTCTCTGTGTTAAACAGGAAATACACCCAAGAGTGAGGACAGAAGAGACACTTGACGAGCCGCAGGTACACGCAGGTCTTTTTTTCATCAAGGCTGCATTTATTTGATCAGAAATACAGTAAAATTGATAATATTATGAAATACTATTATAATTATTTTTTGTATTTCAATACATTTTAAAATGTGACCCTGGACCACAAAACCAGTCTTAAGTCGCTGGGGTATATGGGGTATAGCAATAGCCAAAAATACATTGTATGGGTCAAAATGATTGATTTTTCTTTTATGCTAAAAATCATTAGGATATTAAGTAAAGATCATGTTCCATAAAGATATTTGGTAAATTTCCTACTGTAAATATATCAAAACTTAATTTTTGATTAGTAATATGCATTGCTAAGAACTTCATTTGGACAACTTTAAAGGCGATTTTCTCAATAGTTTGCACCCTCAGATTCTAGATTTTCAAATAGTTATCTCTGCCAAATATTGTCCTATCATAACAAACCATACATCAATGGAAAGCTTATTTATTCAGCTTCGAGAAGGTGTATAAATCTTCAAATTTAAAAAAATGGACCCTTATGACTAGTTTTGTGGTCCAGGGTCACAAATTTATTTTGTTATTATTACAAATTTATTTATTTAATTTATTTCAATGATGGCAAAGTCCAATCTTCAGTGTAATCTTTCAGAAATCTTTTTAATATTCTGATTTGGGGCTCAAGAAACATTTCTTATGATCAGTGTTGAAAACCGTTAATCTTTTTGTGAACATTGTAATTTACTTCTTTTCAGGATTCTTGTTTTGAATATGTTTAAGTAATTTTTGCCATTTTTTAATGTCTAGCTGTTGTGTACTATGAAGAGGAAAAGGGTTGAATAAAGACAGGAGATGGACGTTGCAGAACACAAGTGAGTTATTTACATTTATTTGTTATCCTGCATATGCTAGTAGACTTAACATAGACAATGCAGTTTATTTTACAGAAATGTTGACATACATGTACCATGACAAAGTGTTCTGTGATCACATAATTGTACAGATTACTACATGCATTCAAAGATGCTGATATGTGCAGAAACAGTCTGCAGCTTAAAGGTGTCTACCACGGACATTGAGATACAAGATAACATCATTTAAACAAAAACAGAGAAGAGGCAGAAGACGTGAGAGGAAGAAATACAATGTAGCAAGGATGCATGGGAGAACAGGCTATGACACATGGGATGACACATTCATATTTAACCTCGCTTTCAAACAAAAAAAATAAAACTACACGCTTGCCATGACGATATATATCACAAATGATCATGTGATGAGAAGCATGCTTGTTCACAGTCCATCAGCTGTTAGAGTTCATTTTACCATTTAGACACGAGCAAAGTCACACAGACCCAAATCCCTTTGCATCTACTGCTCCCATAAAGGCTAATGGGAGATGCTTCTATAGTCATATGATGACATGCTACAGATCAATAAGCAGTTGATTGCCTGGAGTGAGTTATGAAGAAAACAAAAGAGTTTAACAGTACCGACTTTGAGCCCCACTCATTTGCCTTTATTCAACAGGTGCTAAATGGTGTGAATCTTTCATTTGTGCAATAGTTAAAACTGTAATTTTGAAATGCCACAAAAATGCGCATGAGCTGCCATTGACAGATACAAATACTGGGATACCAGTTATAAATAAATTTTATCTTATGAGCTGTTCAAATGATCAGGGCTCTGAAATTGTATTTTTGAGCATATGCAAGAACTTATAAGACATGAGAAATTTCATTATATCATATTTCGTTTTGCTTGTGCTGGCATCTCTTAAAGGGACAGTTCACTCAAAAATGAAAAGTCTGTCCTTATTTACTCATGCTCATACTTTCTTTATATGTTTAGATATTTTGAAGACCGTTTTGTCCATATAATCAAAGTCAGTGCAGCCCAAAACAACACTGAACCCCACTGACTTTCATTGTATGGACAAAATATCAACTATGTTCCACAGAAGAAAGAAAGTCATACAGGTTTGGAGGCGAGTAAATGATGAAAGTATTTCTTTTAAACAGTTGTTGCTGTGTATGTGGTACTGCGGAAATTGTAGCAGCTTTAACATGCTGAAAAAATATTTCACTTTAAAAACAAAGTCCATTCATTTACCATAACAGAGTTGCCTACAGGCGGTGCTAGCCAGGCACAAAATTTGTTAGAAAACTTCATTCACTGATGACTTAACCTTCAATATTTATATACAGCATCACCATATAATATTTGGACACTTAAATTTCATACAAAATATCACACTAAGTAGCGTTTGCAAGATTTTTTTTTTTCAAAACTAACTTTTCTTTATTGTAGAGTAATTGAGTCATTTTGAATACATTTTCCAACCAGTTTATACTGTACATTAATATTTGACAACCAAAAAGTGTCCAAAATCTTCTGTCTCTTATTTTTGAAAAATGTTTTGCTTTAAAATTGTGCTTGTGCTATGTATCTTTAAAATAAATTCTACTTAATTTGATATTTTGTAAAAAATATCATACATTCTGTCCAAATATTTTTGGGGTCACTGTATATGAGGCATATAACGCACAGCAGGAAACTGACCATCCTGTGGGAATGCATGAGATGGGCCATTATTCAACAGTCTATCAAAACAGAAACAGGCATGTGACGACGTTCTTTAAAAAACAACGACAGCAAAAGAAACAAGACGATGCGTTTTTTAAATGAAGAAAACATAGACATCCACCATATCAGAAGATTAGTGTCACAGAAAACCTGAGAACTTAATATTACGCATATCTATTACTTAAAGACCTGATTTTTTCCCCCCTATAAAAAGTATAATTTTCTGTACAGTGCTATATGAACAAAGCCAACTGATTTGTTGCCTTCTCATAAATGTTTATGAAGAGGCACGCATCATTTCAAACTCCATACGGCAGGAAATTGTGGTCGTGCAGAATTTTGGTTTAGAAAAAATAGAACCACTGTCAGCATTAATTGATAAAACAAAAATACTTTTTATGAGCCCATTAAATCATTTCAAGAGTTTGTTTTTCATATTTCAAATGAACCTGTTTGTAGACATTTATAAAAGACCCTCCTGGGCTAATTTGTCAGAAGAATCTTATTTGAAGAGTATAACCGGAGTGAAGTATTTTTGTAAAACGTCAAATCTTTTTTATTTTTGCGTGGTAACACTGATATTTCAAATATTAAAGATATATCATCTGAAAAATACAATTGAAGTCTCTGCCTGTACACTTACAAATCCATTAGACTGTAAATAAAGTGCCACAATTCTTGGCCTGCATAGATTGCAGTATGCTGTATTGCACCTTCCACCATAGCGTAACCGCCAGAGCCAGCTGAAGTCTTGAGTTCCTCCTCCTCCTCCTCGTCTTTTTCACAATCCTCGTTCAGCCCATTCAGATTGTGTGATTTCTCCAAACACAGTGTACATTTTGAACAATCAGCCAACTGCCATGCCAAAGCAAGTAATATACACACGTTTCCAGCAATCTTGGAATAAAGGCAACACAAAATGGATATTCTCTCACGTGACAGGAAAAACATGTCGGCCAGATGGTAATGAATAACTCAAAAGAGAACAAAATGTTCTTGAATACTCTGTAAAACCAGACAAATGTGAGTTTTTGTTAAGAAATGACTCAAAGGTCAGGCATCTGAATGATACAGATATGGTGAAATATGAATAATAATGAAATAACTCATGTGAAAAATTAAAACTGTAGTGGCATTTACACTACTGTACTCTCGTCAAATGAAGAAAATGATTAAGTTTGATGTCTGTGTGTAAATGAAAACATAGTTTGTGTTTTGGTCCTTTTGACAAGTAAATATAGCATTACTAAGAGGACTGTTTTTTTTTTAGTTTTAACAGGGAAATATGTGAAGAACATTTGTAGGTTTGAATGACCAGAAGCACTAATTTGATAACACTAATTATTCTAATACCACTATGTAGACTAGTTTTTCTTAAACTGACTGTTTGCTGTGCTATTGAATATTTGAGTATGTAAAAATAAGCTAAGACATACATATCCGCTGTACCCATGTGTTTGTATGATATATGTTTAAACCTAAATTTTTTTTTGAAAGTTGACATCTAACTTTATCCAGGTATCGCTCGCTATGGCGATACATAATAGTCAATATATAATTTGCATTTACAGCTACTGTATATTATCTGATTGCTATTCTCATTTGGCAACTACAGGTGTATATGCAACTCTGATATCAAGAAAAAAGTGGTGCAATTCATCTGGTCATTAAATAGAGATTTTGATGCTGCTAATTTGAGTACCCAACCAAAAATAATAAAAATTAAATAAATAAAACAAAATAACCCCCCCAAATAAATATGTGACATCGTAGACCATTCCTAAAACACAAACACATCTGCATTACGTACATTGCATTTCTACAGAAAGTCATGATATGTTTCAATACGTCGCTACTTTGCAGCTCACTTTTCACAGTCTTTGATGAAAATTCCCTCTTTAAAACGAAAAAAAAAAAGGCTAACAAAAACCCTTTTGACATCTATTATGCCCTCTGTGGCTATGTGCATTGTCATTGCTGTAGTCTCTATATTTACCGTGGAGTGCTCTCAGCAAACTAAGCACCGTAAAACAGCTTTGTTAATATGCATGCTCTTGTAGGTCTGTCCCCCTATGGTTCCGACTGTCTCTAAAAAATAATAAACAAGTGAAAAGGTAAAATGTACAGGTAGGTCAACAGTGTCCTCATTGTTGGGTAAATACATTCTAAACAAGCCTCTCGTTTGCACCCGCATCCTCCAGTCTGCAAGAAACTGCAGTCTCTTTTGCGTTATTGACAATGACACAATTACAAGGGACTTTTCATGCCATGCAAAAATATCTTTCAGACCACATCTGAGTGCCTCTTTCTCCACCAGTGCGCTCCACTCTGTCCGAATGTCAAGCCACAGTCACATACCGGTTTCGCAAGATGGCGAGTGATTGCCATCCCCTGGCATTAGATGGATCTCCGGCGTAAACATGTGGTTCTCTACCTTGTGTTCACTTTGGTTAGAGTCTGGCTTTTCCTCCCCATTACCACCGACTACCACTTGAGTGCAGTTCTGTGCTGCTAGTTTGGGCGAGGAGATTGCTGCGGAAGCCACTTCCGTTTGGTTCTGTTCCTCACGGTAATCCTGTTCCTCCAGGTTCCCCAGAAGCAGTGCCGTCTCCCCAGGATGGTACCCACCGGCTAGCATCTTCGGAGAAAGAACCAAGCCTTTCACTGGGATACTACCCAGCATTTCCGAATCTGAACAAAGAGGAGAGCACTCTCCCTCCGGGTAGTCATCTTCCAGAAGACTGTTGTTGATATCCTGTGGAGAAGATGTGTTGGGCGGTGTCAGAGGAGCGTCCTCTGGCGTTTCGATGAAGTTAACTTTGAGGCCCTTTGTCTTCATTGGATTTGTGCTTCGAATGGAGCTTCTGATGTTCTCTATGACCTCGTTGAAGTTCTCCCCATCCGGTGGCTTGTCGATGTCTCGGTTGAGAGTCTCAGAGTTCTCCTCCGGACTCATGTCAGAGGGTGTTAGCTGGCCGAGGTGAAGTTTCGGAGGTACTTTCGATTGCCTTTGCTGATTCTGCTCTGCTGTATAAGAAGGGGTGGATGCCTTCTCACCCTGTCCAAACTCAGCAGTGCAGCTCGCAAAGCTGTCAACACTCGATATGCTCCTGACATCGGTGATTGCTCTTTCCTTGGGTTGCCGTTCGGTGGCCATTGGGACTTCATTCATCTCCAACTCTACCTCATGGTTTGACACAGCTGCAGGTTGTGTGCTGTTGATTGTGTTGAGATCCGAGAAGGACTGTGTCTTTGTCATCTGGTTATACATTTCCGCCAGTTTCTGAGCATTCAGATGCTGTGGACTCGGTGTTCTCACGTATTCCCGTGAGCCGTTTGGGTCGCTGTCGGGAAACTTCTTGTCAAAGGATCTGAGGCTGGTATCCGAGGATGTGCGCTGTGGAACACCCCACCGGCTCGGAGAAAGGTGGTTGTCCATTGGTCGTTTATCATCACCTTTGTCCACGGCAACGTCCATTAGCTCCATACTTCGTGCGAAGGCATCTTTCAGGTTCATTGAAACAATGCTGCCATTTCTCTTGGCTCGTTCTAAGGCCTCTCTTCTCTTGATGGCTTTCTCCTGTCGTTTCTGCTCCTTGTAGAACTCAGAGAAGTTATTCACAATAATAGGGATGGGTAAGGCAATGACCAACACACCAGCAATGCAGCAAAGTCCTCCGATTATTTTGCCAAGCAGAGTCTGTGGGTAAATATCTCCATAGCCCACTGTGGTCATGGTGATTGTAGCCCACCAAAACGAAGCTGGGATGCTGGTAAATTTGGTTGCATCCTCATCCTTCTCTGCAAAGAAGACCAAACTTGAGAATATCATGATTCCCATGGCTAAAAATAATATGAGTAAGCCGAGCTCATTGTAGCTGCGCCTGAGGGTGAATCCAAGAGACTGCAGTCCTGTTGAATGTCTTGCCAACTTCAGAATCCTCAATATTCTCATGATACGGAATATCTGCACCACCCTCCTCACGTTCTGGAACTGCAGCACGCTTTTGTTCGACTCTGTCAGAAAAATAGTGACGTAGTAGGGTAATATAGCTAATAAGTCAATGACATTTAGTGGCCCTTTGAAGAATTTCCACTTGTTTGGAGATGACAGGAAGCGCAGGAGATACTCCATTGTAAACCATGCAATACACACGGCTTCAACGTGAGCGAGTTGAGGATTGTCATTGGCCTGCCCAAATTCATCTGTCACTTGGAGTTCAGGCAAGGTGTTCAGGGAAAGAGCAACAGTTGAAAGAACGATGAACAGAATGGATATGATGGCCAATATCTGCAAGAGAAAGAAAAAAAATGCATAAGTCATTATGATTTTTCTTGGTTCATTATGCAAAATTTACAAAAGATTTTGTGCAGTGCTAAAGATAAACTTGCAACAATATGTTTAGTTAAATTGTGTACTTTCTTATGCAATGAAAGCATGAGCGCAAAGCCTTTCTGTCTCTCTCTTTACACAGACACACACACACACAATCTTATTTTCTTAAAATAATGTTTTTAAGGATCCATTAAAATGAAAGGCAAATCTATTTTAGTGGACAATTAAATAGAAAGTTAATATTACTTTCTATTTAATTTTCTACAAAAATTTGATTAGTTTTAAGTAATGTATTGATCCATTTGCTTTGCAATTAAATATTGTTGGCAACAAGATTAAAGTTTAAAACTATTCTAACATTATTTGTCTTGATTTTAGCCTTTACATCCTCAAAAGCAATCACTAAACATTCTTTTGCATGCCTCTTCTTGTGTATTTCAAGCATCAAGATCAATTGGTCCTAGAACAGCTCTGGAAAATTTGATAACATAAAAACACAGTAAATCCATTTTGTTATGATTAGAGGAGTCAGATTTCGTGCGTGTTTTGTTTGTGTGTCGTAGGTGGGATCGGAAACCATAAAAATAAGGGCATAAATAAAACCAGTACAAAAATAGCATCCCATTTTCTTTGATTACCTGTGTTGAAGGGGACCTCAATGAATGAGCGAGCATATGGCATGAATATCAAACAAGAGCATGAAGTGACAGCTCTCTACCCATAAATAGCTTCAGTAAATGAATGAGTGGGAGGATCAAGCGTGAGCAGACCTTCCTGCCACTATTGACCATCTGCAGGTTGAGCTTTTCCAATCTGAGCAGGTCGAAGACAACAGCCATGCCTTCACCCATGTATTTCTCACTGCACCCTATCTGCTGGGAATAGTTCATTCAACATGCACCATTGGTCACCTGTTAAAAAAAAAGATATCTTGCTTTTTTAAAGACCTGGCAAATCCTTTGTTCCCTCAATGATTTTTCCATTCTTTATTGTCTGGCAATCCAGTAAAAGAGGGATTTGGTCATACGTAACTTGTCACATGGACACGCCACCTGATGTACTGCGATAATGTTCTTTATCTAGTATTGCTTTGTAATCTCCTGCATCTTCAGATGTTTTGTGAGATTGTGATGATGTACAAACAAAAACTCTCAAGAGCTCAGCTACCGAACAAGCAGCACATTCAAATAATGCCATATATGATTAAACATCACTAGAATTTCTGGTTCCTTTTGCATAATTTGAAATGCTAAATCAGTTACTTAAGTGTCTCATATATCTAATTTATCTTCCTTTACAAATATTGATTCCTGGCCAATGTAAAACCGCATACGATATTATATTATATTATATTTATTGTTATTATACATGTAAATTTAATTTAATT